CACATATATGGGAGGGGTGCTTTAAAAAGGGCCTTTGACAATCTTGTTTTAGTGATTATAGGGTTTATTCCAGGGGTCTCCAAAATTGACAACTTTACAACTTGTGGACTTCAACTTCCAGAATTCCAGCATGGGTAGAATCCCAGCATGGAATTCTGGGAGTTGAAGTGTACAGATCTCAAAGTTGCCAAGATTGGACACCTCTGGTTTACACTACTGTTTTCATCCATTCTCCTTTAAAAATGGCAACAAACACACCCAACCAAAAACAGCAACAAGCCTTTAGTTTGTGGTGCACATAGTCCAAAAACCGGTCCAAAAAAAAAAACATTTAAGGGTCATTTATTGTAGAGGCTCCTCTCCTTCCCAGTATCATTTAAAAGATTACAAATCTCTCACTTACTGTTTATCTATCATGTGGATTTCAAAAGTGCAAGGAGGTGACCTCCATGGAAAATGAAGTCCTGCCTGATAAGTCTATTGAGCCCATCAACTGTAGCCTTACCATCAATTTCTAATTTCTAAAGAGCATTTTGACCTGGAACAGAAAAATGCACAGCAGTGGAAAATGCATTTAGTGGAGTTACTTAGCCATCCTACTATTTAACAGTTGCAACCAGCTGACATTACAGTTTTCAAATGCTCTTTATCTTCACCTACGACTGCAACAGAATTTGGTACACCAGGCCCTCTGCTCCACCTCATCTCTGCAGCCAATGCAACATAGCACAAGCCTCTCATTGTCATAAATCCCCTTCCAGGAGACCAGACTAATTATATTAATGTCTCAAAAGATGAAACGTAAGGTAGGAAAAACACTGTCAATCAGGATGGGAAAACAGAGAAGTCATCAAGACCCAAACAAAAAGGAAATCCAAATACAGGTATTCCTTGAATTATGACCACAACCGAGCCCAAAATTTCTGTTGCTATGTGAGACAGTTGTTAAGTGAGCTTTGCCCCATTTTACGACCTTTCTTCCCGAGTTGTTAAGTGAATCACTGTAGTCATTAAGTTAGTAACACGGCTGTTAAAGTGAATCTGGCTTCCTCATTGACTTTGCTGGTCGGAAAGCTGTAAAAGACGATCACATGACCCCTGGGACACTGCAACTGTCCTAAGTACATGCCAGTTGCCAAGCATCTGAATTTTAATCATGTGACCATGGGATACTGCAATGGTTGTGTGAAAAACAATCATAGGTCATTTGTTTCAGTGCTGTTGTTAATACCTAACGGTCACTAAATGAACTGTTGTTAAGTCAAGGACTACCTGTACTGATAAACTAGAGTTATAGTATTTTCAGCAGAATAAAGCTACTTGCTAGGTTCTCTGCAGCAACAAAGAAACTGTGGGACGTAAGGAGTAGGAAGACTCCAATCAATAGCGCAGAGTCTATGAATATTCCACATGCAATCTTGCATACCCCACAGAAAGCAGCAACTAACAGGCTGGTCTAGAAGCAAACAGAGACCTTGGCATGTGCAGGAGACCCATTCATACCTCTTTACCTTATCCATTTGTTTAGAAAATTTATTAGATGAGCAATCTTGTCCTTTTGATGGGAAAAAAGTGAATACAAAAAATATCTGTAAAATGATGAAGAATAACAGACATCCCCATCCATCCATCCACTTCACGGACAAATGAAATAATCTACACTGAATTAATGGTTGATTTCTGGGGAGGACCCCTGCCTGAAACTTCAAAAATAATCTGCTATCATCCCCTTCCCCAAATAATATGGGTATTTAAGGCAGCTTCTTACTATCTTTTTTACAAATGGCTATCTTCACTGCATGTGGACAGATGGGCATTCAAGAACATCAATGAATTTGCAAGGATTGGATAATCACCAAGCCCTTTTAGAGAAGATACTGCAATTCAAAATTAATTTAGTAACTTTGGGATGCTGCTTATCATCCAAACTAAATAAAATTTTCTTTATCAGTTTCAAGACCCGCAAAGACAACCAAATAAGGTAAGAAAGGACTAAGGCTGGGGGACCCAAAGACACATTTAATAAAAGTCCATGGGGAACCAAAGTGTACCATCCAGGTGATAAAGACACCCTTGTCTTCTTCAGACACATTGAAGCAAAAACAAGATCACAACTCAATTTTGCAAATGCAAGGTGTGCTAATGACAGATCTTCCTGTAGGTCAGTGGATGATCTGAAGGTGATTAAGAGTTTGAACCAGAATGGACTTGCAGCTCACTTCAGTTCCCCATGCCCACAATTCATTACAGTACATATTTTTTCATCTAGGCATCACAAATTCTGCTGGATTTCAATTAAAGGATGTAACTTCCACAAGCCCAAAATCTTCTCTCACTTGCTCTACCATAAATATTATCTCCAACATTGGCATTCTCCACCTTCAGTCCAAAGAAACCAACCCTGAAGAAGTCCATTGTTCTGTTCCATCTAAGATTGAAGTTAATACACAATTTTAGATGACAGCAATTACTTCACAGATACTACTCATAACTTTTCCTCAATGTCTTCAGTGGTGTTAAATGTTTGTTTATGTATTCATGGCACCCTCCTGCTCCCAATCAACTCAATACTCCCTCATTAACAGCCCATTAGGATCTGATGGACTACATGGTGATGAATATTGTTACATCATTTCATTCATAGAATCCTTCTCAATTCTTTCGGTGGGGAAAAAAATGGGGGGAATCGGGAACCACCACCCACCCCTCACAAAATAAAAGAGGGAAGAAGACAACTACAGATAATAATCCTACAGAGAAAAATAAAATGGGGAGTATTTTTGGGCAAAGTGATGGGATAAAAACTCTTTAGAAAAACAGCAACCTTTCAATCCAAATGCTCTATGGGCATAAATAATAGTGATGAAACCTTAAACTGAAGAATATTTAGCAATACTATGTGCATAGAGACAGCTCAACTTGTGTGATACAACATTCCAATTGGAAAAACACTAAGATATCTACCTAAAAGCCCCTTATTTATTTGTGGAGTCATTGACCCAGGCGGTATCAGAAACTACCCAATCACCCAGAGTCAAACAACCAGCTGAGTTTTCTGGCTGGTATACATGAGAGCAAGTACAGCAGAAATGAATTAAGCTCAATTAAGCACAAGAGAAACTATCATGGTGGACAAATTCCTATTACTCTAGAGATGTAATAGAAGAAATAATGATAAAGCCGTCAAGAAATAAAATTATTAAACAGGGAAACAGTCCCTAGTTTTGCAAATTATAAAGGAAACTTTATAAGGATAGCCATTGCCAAGCTAAATGTTTCACAGCCTTGGTATAGATGTGCTGATCTGTACTCACTGAATGTGGCAGGTAAGAAAAACTAATCAGGGATCAATATATTCAAGACACCAAGTGTAATGAAAACAATATTCTAGCAACAGACGTATTGGAATCTGAGGGTCTTAGCACATATTCAGGAGCATTTCTGATAGGGAGTGATGTTATATCTACCTTATGACACCACTAGAGATGCAGCATCAAGTCACATCCATGTAAACGTCCTTCTGTACAGAGCATGATACACCCAGATAAAAATATCTGGGTGTAGTCGAGATGTAAAAATTAGTTTGTTTTTCATCATCTAGGTCCAAAACTCAGTTTAAACTCCAGTAAGGCTTTATCTGCCACAAATAACATACTGGGATAAGACCAGTGCTTCTCAACCTCAGCAACTTTAAGATGGCTGGACTTCAAATCCAAGAAATCCCCATCTGGAAGTGGAAATCCAACCAAATTTTCACATCAAGCTTCCTGAAGTCCAAAAAGACAAAGTCCACCCATATTAACACTGCTGAGGTTCAGAAACACTGGGAGAGACAAACCCATCAAATGCCTTAAGCCCCCAGTTAGGTTTGTATTACACTTGTTTTACATACAAACTGGGTTCCTCTTAATCCACTTTTAGTATCCTCTTTCTAGCAATATGCAAATACATAGCATCATTACACTGGTTGCCCTCAACCACAATGGCAAACACGTAACCTGTTCCAGATCATGTTGTGGGCCTTCAGTTTGCTATTTTGCACTCCAGTTACCATTTGATCCTTGCCAAATCAAGCTTTTTGTTGGCCGCCTCCTTACAAGGTCTGGATCCATGGGTTCCTATCTCCACCTCTTGCTTTTCCTCTAAGCAGACTTCACTTCCTCCCATGAGACCCTATTGTCAAAATCATCTGGACTCCCTCCCCTATAATTAGGTTGTAAAGGACAGATAAAATGGACCGGTTCACCATTCACAGTTCGGTTCACCATTCACAGTTCGCTCTAGAGTAAAGCAACGCCTACATTTCTTTGCCCCGTGCAAAGAAGCTGCTTAATTATTTTCATAACTTTAAAAAACAGACCTAGAGAGAACAGAAACAAATGATGCAAAGGTAAGTTAGTATTCCTGGGATTAAAAAAGCTGTTTTAAGTTCACAGCATCTCTCTGACACTCACACACCCCGAGATGCAAAAGAAAAAAAAAAGCAGTTATGATCCTACAATTATTGGTAAAGCTAATTGGTAGTTTCTTCCTGGCTGTTTTCATGTTGTCAGCAGGGCAGTGATGAAAACGAGCACACGTCTGTAGTCTTGTTTACCACATATCCAACAATAACGTCTGATTCAACAGGCATGGCAAAGAGGCAGTGATTTAAGGAACTCCGAATTCTTCCACGTAACGATGCATTGCATGCAGACAGAGGCAAGGGAAAAAAAATCCCAGCCAATAGAAATTTTTGGAGTTTTTCCCAACAAGAGACGAGGCAAAAAAAGTCACAACACAAGGAATGGCTACAATGGAAAATCTTTTGCTAGAGCCACACAATGCACTGCATTATTCCCCGAGCTACAAGCGTGCAAAAAATGCCCTCTGAACAATTAGCCAGCTTGGGATTCTTCCTCTTGTCTTGTTAGCTCCCACACCCCCCACACACCCCCCCCCCCGATAAAAAAGCTCCCATTTCCAAATTTGATCTTCCTGCTCCCAGTAAGTCTTCCTACCTTTGAGGAACTGCTGTCTTTCCGTGAGATTTGGAGAAACCAAGGCTGTGTAGTCATCTTCTGAGAATCCTGGTTTGCAAGTGGGCCTGACGGTAAGATCCCCATTGTGTGCCTAAAGAGATTAAGAGAAGAAAAAAAAAACTACCATGAATTGGACTGAATAAAAGAGGGAAAGAGGAGAGAAAGAGGGAGGCCGGGAGAGTTTTTTTGCAGCCAGCATGCAGGTGTCTGCAAACACTCAAGCTGGCACAACAGTAACAGGTTCATCACGTCGATAACATATTGCAAGCTAAGGAGCAAAAATCAAGCAACCCCAATAGGAATCCAACATATTATTTCCCAGAAGTCTGGATGCTGAAGATAAGTGGGGAAAAAATAATAAAAGATGGGGTGAGTCATGCAAGCTGAGCATCACAATACTTCTGTCCAGCAGCAGTAAAGGAACCCTAGTGGCTAGGATCAATACCAAATCAAGCCATGGTTAAGAAAATAGAGACTTCAGAATTGGAAAATCCATTTAATCACTCTGTTTGGCTCTATTTGCCCAACAGTAAAGATCACTGGAAGTTCAAGTTCAAGTTAAAGCTACAGCAAGATGCTGCTGGTTTGTATACCCAGACCACGCTTCCCTTAACCAATCAATGTAGAAATGCTGAGCAATCACCAACTGGTAGACAGAGAAAGAGAAAAACTGCCAACAAGCCAGCAGACCAGCCCTGGCTGATCTGCAAAGTGAAATCTAGGAAGGTTAAGAAAGCACCCTAGAGAAATGAAAATGACTTAGGCAGATCTTTCTCCTCCTTCCTGTCTGTGGAAAACAAAAATATTGGCTTATTGTTCTTCTATGCAAGGTTTAGGCCCAGGTGAACTAAATCAGGCCTCATGGAAAAAGTATTGAATCAAAGTCTGTGCTATGCTTAATTTTGCAGTTTGCAACTGTACTTTACTTAATATGATTTTGGTAAGCTTGCTGGTTTCAAATATACATAGAACATAAGGACTGGAACAGTAAGATATAGGAAAGTAACGGATGGATGTGGGTTCCAATGTACACGAGTATGTGGAAGTTATGTTCAGCAAAGGACCAGCAGAAAGTCTAAGATTGCTGACCATCTGTCCATAGTCTTAGAATGAGAAAGCATATAAGGTTGGGACTGGACCTGACTGACCATTGGCCTATAGCTGTCCTTATTGGAACTGTTACATCATTGGATGTCGTTACACCCAGTGCATGTTCCAAATTATTGCTGAAATAAACCTCTGAATCTTAAAGTAAGAAGTATTGCTTTGTGTTGCTATCGCTTGTTTTTTTCACTGGGTGAAAATGTCTTCCACGACATATCCTAACTGCAAAGCAGATCCATCTTCAGATGTAAGCTGGACAAAAAAGGCCAGATTTTCTCCCTGAGTCTTGAAGAGCTGAGTAAGAAAGAATCAATTCTGCTCATGCCTAGGCTTTCCAGACCCAGCAGCTCAATTTGACTCCAGCTAATGTCAGCTGAAGCTAAAATGCTTGTTTGCGGGTGACTTGTAAATAATAAAATTCCCACGGTAAGGAAGATACTAAGTTTTAGAGCAAGTAAGTGTCACTTTCATGCTGTCCCCCGGACCATTTGGAGATTTAGATAACGGCAATGGGTTCAAAGCAGCCCCAGATGATAAAACCACGGGACCTACACCCAGTAGAAATTTTAAACTACTTACCCACCTGCTTTACACAGCCCTTTACAAAGGGTCCTCCCTAAAGATCTAACAGCCAGGAAACCAAAGCAGATTCAGCCAAGCATGAATTTTAAATAATTATGAACAGAAGGAAAGCCACATAAAACCTAGATGTGTGTAAAAACCTAGATGTGAGTAAGAGAGTGAGAAAAGGAAGGAGTGAACACAAAGCTCATCTCCCAGACTGACAAGCTTACTAAGCAAAAAAGCAAGCCTATGTAATCTCTGCAAAAAATCACGCCTGGGGGAGAGAAGTGCCAGCTTCCATCTCAGGAAAGTAAACCTTCCTTGGAGCTCTCAAGTTTGCTAGTAAAGGAGGAGTTCAGTTTGGAAACACTTCTGGATTAAAATCCTTCAGGAGTCTAACTACTCAGTGATTATGGGGGACCTGGAGAAAGAGGATTACGTAAGTGGTGGGGTGCAATATAGTTTCAGAAACGTGCCCGTGTTTTCTTTGTATGCTCCCAATTTAAGCTCTCCAGGTTTCAGAATAAAAGAGCTCTAGTTGTCTTTTAAAAGGGGGGGGGGAGACAGACAGAAAAACAGCTGCATCCAGTTTCTGCACTCTGGCAACTCACTCCTGAAGGGTTATTCTTTCCACTGAGAAGAGTGGACAGCATCCTCCATCAGTTTAAAACAAAATCAAAATACACACTTGGGGGGGGGGGAAGTCAAGGCAATCTGGGCAGCAATAGACAAGCTCTGGAAATATAAATTTCAAACTTACAAAATGCAGAAAGACTAATGAGCAGTGAAGGTGATTCTCCTCCACTAGCCAGGTCACAGCTATGCATGATTCATACCGTTTTACAAGAACACACACTAAAACAGTGTTTCTCAACCTTAGCCACTTTACGACCCGTGGACCTTAACTCCCAGAATTCCCCAGCCAGCTCTGCTGTCTGGGAAATTCTGGGGGTTGAAGTCTACAGATCTTAAAATAGGTAAGGTTGAGAAACATTGTTGTAAGGCAGGGGAGTTAAACTGCCGGTCCGGGGGCTGCACCTACCCCAGCTCACATGACATTGCTTGACAGCTCTGCTGCAAAGCAATAGAAACTAGACGTAAATAAGCAAGGAAGTTACCTTACAATTCCTATTTTAGTAGAAGGGCCCTAATCACTTCAGAAAACAGTGTTAGCATAAAATGAGGTGCCCCCCATTGACAGTCCTTATCCCGGATCTACGATAGCTTTGCCTTGCTTTGTGAACTCATTAAAGCAAGGTGATTATTCTCCATTAGTTTAGCTGCTGTCCCCAACCCTTTATATGTCACCTTTCAGCAGAGAGAGACATCCACCAATCAGAGCCCTGAAGCTGGAATGAAGAGGGTGTAATTTCTAGATTCTGGAGAAGCTTCTCCAGCTTGGTTTGTCTATGTCTCCCATCCGTATTCCACTCAGAATCTCTCAAATTAAACAATGGGAGAAGAAGGTAGCTTATGCCAGGGTTATCCAATAAATCAAACCCTGCAGAATGGAAAAACTGAAGTAGATTGCAGTTTTAGAAGGGGAAGGATTGAACCTGACAAAGACAGGGAAACAAGCACCTAAGTACCACAAGCAGAGTCCAGGGTTTTTTTTTCCTCCCACATTGCAGCAAAGAGAAGCTGAGCTGCTGCCTCTTAAAGCAAAAGCACATTTCAGAATACTGTTAAAGCGGATTAGTGCAAACACGCCCTCCTGTCTTCTCCAAATAAGGTAGCAGAGTTTTTGCTCTCTGGTCTGCTTTATTGGAAGCAGGAGGCAAAGCTAGTGTCACAAGTGCAGAGAGCGAGTGTGGGAATAGATGATGGCTATAAAATGAACTCAACACAGCACCAAAGAGGGCAAAGGCCAGAAAGGGACCGTCCAGAGCAATGAGGAGGGGTATTTTTATAGCTTCTGACACCTCCAAAACACACTTGAATCATACCCACCCCAAAAGTCAGCTGACCTCACCTCCAAGCAAACATGACAAATCATTCCTAATTTTAACACACTTTGGAAACTATAGGAGAAACGCAGCACCTCAAGAAGGAAAAAAAATACTATTTAAAAATCAGCACATCCAATAACTTAAAGCTGTACATCCATGGGATGGAGATGAGGACAATGGGAAAGACAATGTGGAAAGGCTGCCCTGGTACATTACAGCCATACCCCAGACCACATCAAGAGACAGTTTGGGACAGACTTGCAAGCCAATTTCACCCAATTTCAAATATCACTAGCCAGAAAGATTTTTTTTTCTCCCTCCTATACATTGTCTTAGATGCTCAGATTCTCTCTCAAAAAGCAAATCCCTTCTAAAGAGGGTTTGATGAGTTAACACAGATGAGTAATGAGCTCCCTTAGCCAATACACACATCTTACATTCTGCTTTTAAAAGAGCAGCAAGGCTGCATTCACACAAAATATTTGACCAGTCTGGCAAGCCCTGGTAGATGTGTTTAGAGAGCATTCCCTAGCATGGTCTTTTTTTTTTTTTTGTAGCTTTGCCAGTGGGAAAACCCACCTGGCTTGAGTTACCGGTAGATTCCAGCTCAACTGCCTTGCTAAAGCCCAGACAAGGGTTAATTTACTAACCTAGTTTAGAATATTGTGTGAATGCAGCCAGGGGACAATCTCCCCCCCCTTCTGAGAACAAACAGAATCCTACATGGGTTTATGCAGAAAATCCAGTTCAGTTCACGGAGGCTCCCTGCCTGTTTAGAGATAATTTTAAAGAGAATGGAAAGGCTTTACGCTAACTCCTCCAAGCGCACAACTTCAATGCAAGCCAAAAGTCCTACTCTTTGTACCAGGCTGATTGACAAGGCTCAGCCTGGCACACGCAAGACACAGGTAGAAGTTCTGGGAGATCCCCGTGAAACTTTTGTTCTTTTTTTTTTTAACCAAAAAAAAAGGAAATTCAGAAAAGCTTCACCAAATGCATACTTTCTCTGGGCTCACCCGCCTTGGTCCCCCCAACAGGCACATCGGGATGGTCACACCAAAATCAACTCAGTTTGTCTCCTGCCGCCTTCCCTTCGCCCCTGCGCTGTTCTGCGTTCGCCCAAGCGAGGCATCCCCCACCCCAACACCCACCCCCACCCAGCAAAAACCCTTCCTCCGAAGGATTTCTGTCGGCCAAGCATCTGTGAATAGATGAGGGGGGGGGCGACGAGAAAGCTGTGTGAATGCATCTCAGCTAGAGAACACAAGCCAGCATTGTTGCAGACGCTCTGCAAAAGAGCCAGCGAGAACTTGGACGTGGGGTTGCGGGGGCGGCGGGGGGGGGGTGAGTGGCGAAGGTTTGACAAGGGCTCTCCCTCCCTCCCTGCCACCCCAGGCCGGCCGGCAGACAGACGTGAAGCCCCTACTGCACACGGCATCTATTGCGACGCGAGAGTGAACAAAGGGGAGGGGGCGAAAAGCAGGCATAAATCCCGGCTTCTCTTCCCCCCCTCCCCGCTTCCAAATCTCTCTTCCGCAGGCAGCAATCTCACGCAGGGACCCGATCCTTCCGGCAAAACCCGGCATCAGCCGAGCCCCCACGCCGGCACAGGGAGCGTCACGCCGGGTGCAGGAAAGGACTGGGGGGGGGGCGCAAAGCGGCGGAGCCACCGAGGAAGAGAACGAGGCGGGCTGCGGGTCCTTGGGCAGCCAGCCCGGCAGGAGTCCCTTCCTCCGGCGAGTGCTGGGCGTCCAAGGCTGGCCGCTCTTCTCCTCCTCCCCCTGCCCGCGGGCGCAGCTGCTGCTGCAACTTACCTTCGCCGAGCCCCAGCTGCAGAAGAGCAAGAGAAGTAGCATCCCCCAAGCGGTGGGCATCTCCGCCGGTCTCCGTGCCGGGCTCGGGCTGGTCTCCAACGCCGCCGACGCCTCCCCGCGAACTCAGCCCGGGCTGGGCAAGCCCTCGCGCCGCCAGCCGAGGATCCGCGCCCGCCCGGCCGCTCGCTTCGCCGACTGCCTTCGAAAGCGGGAACTCTGTGCTCGTCGCTGCTGCTGCTGCTGCTTCTTGCTTCTGTTTCGCCGCTGCCGAGCTTCGCCGGCTGCCTCTTTCCCCTCCCGTAATTCCTCGCAGCCGCTTTGAACTGCAGGTGAAGCGCTCTCGGTGCTGCTCCAGCGAAGCCCCGCCTCCCAAGCCCCGCCCATACGGCGCGGAAAGGCAGGCGGGCGGGAGGCCTTAAAGGGACCGCGGCCGGGACTGGCAAGCGCAGGAGAGCGGCAGGCTGGGAGAGACCCTGCCGTCCTCGGGGCCAGAAGCTCCGGCAAGTCAACTCCCGCGCGGCCGCTGCTCCCGAGTGGGGAAGCCTCGCCTGGGTTCAGAGATCCAGGCAAAACTCCTTTGCTCAGCTCCTCTCCGGTGGACTTAGGACACCACTTCGCTCCGTGGAGTTGTTCGTGCCGGCGGGAGCTTGCAGATGATGTTTGACTCCGCCAACTAGGTAACGCCGTGATGGGACCCTCCGCCACGTCGCTGACATTCGAGGCAAGGGAATTGGAATCACCCACCAGGTGCCCGGACTAGCAAGCGAAGGAAAGTGTTTCTCCCCCCCCCCCAACACACATACACACCGCAATTTTCCTGCCCGTGGAACTGGAATTCGTGTGAATCCGGTCTTCCGGAGAGGGCGCATAAATTGGTGGATGGGCTACTCGTACTCGTTTGCCAAGAGCTGACGGTTTTCAGAAAGACGCCTTTGAACCGCCGTAGGATTTGCTTTCAAGTAAAGGCGCGGGAAATGGGGTAGCCCGGCTGTGTAGTGGACCCTGCTAGCCTCGGATGTACGAGCAAAGAAAAAAACATTCAGACAAACCACTTCTGTTTTGTTATGGTATTGTTGCAAAGAAGACTGCCTAGGCCAGGGGTAGGCAACCTCGGCTCTTTTATGACTCAGGAATTCTGGGAGTTGGAAGTCCATGAGTCATAAAAGAGCCGAGGTTGCCTACCCCTGGCCTAGGATTAGTAGAGTGTAGTGGTGAAAGTGCAGGTGACTTTGGCCAGTCACCAGGAGACAATGAGTTCTAGTCCCTCCTTAAGCATGAAGGCCAGCTGGATGACTTTGGCCAATCACCAGCAGACAGTGAGTTCTAGTTCTGTCTTAAGCATGAAGGCCAGCTGGATGACTTTGGCCAATCACCAGGAGACCATGAGTTCTAGTCCCTCCTTAAGCATGAAGGCCAGCTGGATGACTTTGGCCAATCACCAGATGTTGAGTTCTAAAGATCATAGGCATACAAGTGGCTGGATGTGTGAGCTAGTCACTCTCTCAGCCCAACCCACTTCACAGGGATGTTGTGAGAAAAACAGGAGAAGGAAATATTGTGTTTACTGCATTTTATAAAAAAAAAACAAATTTAAAAAACTTCTGTATTATAGTAGTCAGCAAGAAGACTCTAGGGTGAGGATTATATAAGTTGACAGGAGTCAGCTCTGCTCAGGAGATATTCCTCTCAACAGAGTTTAGCATGATAGAGTCTAAGGGTTGACGGCTTATCTTGGAGGTCATCTAAACCAGCTTTTCAGTGCAGGGTTCCTCCATTAAATGTGCTTCAATAGGGCCCTCTGACCTCTGTTGAAAAATCTCCAGCCAGTGGCACCCATCAAGATAAAATCATTATGCTAAAGTGTTGCAATGGAAGCCTTATGCTTTTATAACGATAATAGTTGATCAGCATCGTGGGATTTTTACCCTCCCAAATTCCCACGGAGGTGGTCCTCTGCAAAGGTGGATCTGCCACTCTGTTCATCAAAAGTTACCATCAGGAAATGTTTTCCCATATCTGGTTTAAGTTTATAAAACCATTGTTGCCCTGACTTCTGGAACAATTTTAAACAATTCTGCATCATCTTTCATACATGTCTTCAGAAAGTTGATGTCAACTACCCGGTCTCCCAGTATTCTCCAGGCTAAAAAAAGTAGTGGAAATTGTCACTTCCAGACTTACTTCTTGGATTGCTGTCCTCTGGCTATGGCGTATTTGATTAACATCCATCCTAATATGCCCAGATCAGATGCAACAGCCTCAGTCAGTGTAGTCTGCCAGAATAAATATAATAGTGCTTTCAAGTGAGTCTTGACTTCTAGCCACTGCCTGGACAGCTCTCTGCAGTTTTTTTGGCATATAAATGTAATTTTTTTTTTCATAAGTTATTTGCCATTGCCTTCTTCCTAGGGTTGGGAGAGAGTGACTGGCCCCAAGGTGACTCAGCTGCCTTTGTGCCCAAGGCAGGATTAGAACTCTCCAGTGTCCAACCATTAACCCCTGCATCAAACTGAGTATACAAGATACAAAGCGACAGTCATCTCTCTCTCCTGCATCATATTTTATCTCATTTCAAAGTGTAACCCACCAAGACATCTAGATTGTGTTTTGCAGTAAACTGTCTCCACTCAACTCTTGGCATATTTTTCTCCTTTCCATCCATGCATTCCATTTACAAGGAACCTGGGTTTCAGCAGTGACATCTAAATCACAACCCTTCTACATTAAAACTTCTAGTTTTTCCTATTTATCGCCTGCTATGCAGCTCCCCCACATTAAGACCTCTAGTTTTTCCTATATATTATCCATTATGTGTTTGTATAGAGATCCCAGAATCATTGGGCTACATTATATTAGGCACAAAAGATCAAGTCCACACCTGAAGGTCCATTTAAACTGGTTTATTGCTACTCATGCCTATGCACAGAAATATTCTCAACAGTACCTGCCTGGTGTTAGATATGGGTCAGTGTCCCAAAGGTGCTTTTTAAAAAGACAACTGAAGAAGCTTCTTGGATGAGAAGTGAAACATCTTCAAGGAAAAGCAAGGAAAGTCCAGTTGCCTTTTGAAAAAGCACCTTTGGGACAACCATAACCTAGATGACTTGAGAACCTCCATAGCCACAAGTGTCAGTGGAATTCAAAGGTTGGACTTAGTTCATTTGTGGCTATGTAGTGATTCTAGGCTGATCCCTTTTTTTAACTCCACCCCAGGTTCTACCATTCTTTTCTCTATTAGATGTATCTCTTTCTGCATTTCCATGATCATTATTGAGTACTTCTATATCCTGGATAATAGCGCTTCTGGAGTCTAAGTATGTATCCACAGGCCATTTTCTGGACTTTGTTTTTTCTCATCCATGATTCACCTTCAACCTTCCAGATCAAGTTTGCTGAGTGCCTTTCAAATTCATTCCTCTCACTTATGATGAGGTTCTACCATTTTTTTTACCAAGAGATCTTAATCTTCAAAATGTGTCCCATTATCAAAGAACCCAAACCATTCCCACTGATAATCTCTGTGTAGTCAATTCAATTCCAGTATTCTTTCCCACCTTCTAGGTCACATCCTTCAGCAGGAAGGAACAAAGATGCCCTCATCTGTGTTTCTAGCTCCTTAAAACTGCCCAATGCTTCCTAGTCTCTTTCATTTTTTTCAAATGTGTCTCATTTGCTTCATGTGAGTTAGTTCAGAGTGGCAACCTGTATGGGAGATCATTAAATCCAAGGCTGTAGATAATTGGGAAATTGAAAGCATGATCAGGGCATTGCTAACAAAAAACTACACAGAAGTATCTGTTGTGTTTTAAAATGTCAACTTCAACTATAGGAAGACATTACACTTTTGTGACTATAGTATAAACATTCCTAGAAAGAAAATTATTGCCCTTATGTAGCCTAAGAACTAACAGTCCCATCAGGAATGAACTTGGTTAATGAACAAGTGAACCTGGCAAATATTGAAATTGGCTTGAGCAAGGATGATAAAGCTCCCTTTCTAGAGATATGTCCCTCTGCACTTCATATCCTTCATCAGCCCTTAATTCCAGGGCTGGGGTATGGATAGCAATGCATATTAGAGAAATCTTGCTGCTGTAGGTGGAATGATAGGGAATGAACATGTGAGAAATTGGGCAGTAAGGACAAGATTAGGATACCACTTGTCCAATTCCTCTGCTCTCTAGTCCCTTTTGCAACTCCCCAATCTTGCCTACAGGTTCTATCAGCTATTGGTGGTGGAGGACCTCAATCTCATCTTTGGACAAGAGATTGGGGGAGATTCCAGAATCTGTGGCTTCCATCCCAACAATGAGCTTGTCTTAGGGTAATACAACTTAAGCAGAGATGGACCTAATCTAGATCCTGTCTTTCTTTTGAAGCAACAGCTGTGTGGTCTAGATATGAGGGAAATCAGTTGAATCCTTTATGGTCAGACTGCTTGTTCATTGCCAGCCAGAATTAATGGACCATCCTAGGTGCCTAATGGATCAGAAGGAATTCTAGAAAATTATTAAGTTTTTTTTTTTTCTGCCCAGTGTTCCGACAATTTTGCTAGGCACCTGGTAAAATCCTTGAATTCAGAAGTTGCAAGGATGCTTGCTGTGCTTATTCCCTATTGCTTAATGTGATGCTCTTTATTTCAAGGGTGTGCAGCAAAGGTCTTTTATGCATGCTGACAGTGCATGCAGAGCAGGAGTGGGTATTTTTTTTCTTTTCCTGTATTGAGCCACACTTTGTGCCCTATCTGGGGCTCACAGTCGTTGACAGAATTATGATATAGAAAGAGTGCAGAGAAGAGCAACAAAGATGATCAGGGAATGGAGGCTAAAACATGTAAGGAACAGTTGCTGGAATTGGGTATGTGTGGTCTAATGAAGAGAAGGACGAGGGGGGACATGTTAGTGTTCCAATATCTCAGGGGCTACCACAAAGAAGAGGGAGTCAAGCTATTCTCCAAGGCGCCTGAAGGCAGGACAAGAAGCAACAGATGGAAAGTAATCAAGGAGGGAAGCAACCTAGTAATAAGGAGACATTTCCTGATAGAACAATTAATCAGTGGAACAACCTGCCTCCAGAAATTGTGAATGCTCCAACACTGGAAGTTTTTAAGAGGAGAATGGACAGCCATGTCTGAAATGGCATAGGGTTTCCTGCCTGAACAGGGGATTGGACTAGATGACCTCCAAGGTCCCTTCCAACTTTTATTATTGTTGTTATTATTAAATGAATAAGGTCACATGTTCTGCCTGGATTTTGTTCAGGGGATATTTAGGAATGTGAAATATCATAGCAGTTATCAGCATCTGACAAAACCTTGGCTAAACTTGAAAAACTTAAGCAAGGTTGCATCTGGTTAGTATTTGGATGGAAGACCACAAGACTCTAGGATCTATAAGTTATTTAAAAAAAAATAAGAATTGTGGGAATTTTTAAGAAAAATCCTAAAAAATAATGGCAAACTACTTCCGTATTTATTCAACACCTCATGGACCAGGGGCATGTAATCACACTTGTGTTGCTATTTTGTCCTATTAGCCTGTTGTGTGCTCCAAGCCATTGTGGCCTATTCAATAGAACATGGTTTAATATTAGGATTCACAACTTGGTGGTCTGGATGCTCCATATTACTACCTCACTTTTGTTGTTTTCTTTTTTCAGGCCAGGAGAACAAAATGAACAAAATCTGAGCTGCACTCGTTCTTCAGTTTCATTTCCTAAACATGCTTGAGGATCTTTAAGGCATTCTCTTCAATAAAGTTGATTTTAGAGATTGTGCAAAGCTCTTCCTCCTTTTTTTGAATTAAAAAAATACGTAAAAGAATTAGGGTGGAGAGGAGCAAGGACCCTGGGAAACACCTATCTGCCTGGAAACAAGATCAAAATTTATAATGGGAGAAAGCTCCTGTAACATGCTCCAAAAATTTCAAATGTACCCATTGGCTGGAAAGAGTTAGTGACTTTTGGCTTAGCAGATGTGAACTAGAGGCTAAAACTGGACTGGAGGCTGAAACATATCAAGAACGGTTGCAGGAATTGGGTATGTCTAGTTTAATGAAAAGAAGGATTACAGGTGACATGATAGCAGTGTTCCAATATTTAAGGGGCTGCCACAAAGAAGAGGGAGTCAAGCTATTTTCCAAAGCTCCTGAAGGCAGGACAAGAAGCAATGGATGGAAACTAATCAAGGAGAAAACCAACCTAGAACTAGGGAGAATCTTCCTGACAGTTAGAAGAATTAAC